ATACTAATTTCTACCTGAAATCTACTGAAATTTCTAAGGAGGTTATGAATCCTGAGCCGTTTCCACTTCTTATTTGAAACCTACAGAGCTACTACTATCTTCCACAGAAAAACTGGGGCTGTTCCCAGTTGTTTCCTTTTAACTTACAACTCGCTGTAGGTTAAAATAGTATGTGAACAAAGTGAAGGAATCATACACTGTGACTTACATCTAACAGTCCTGCTATTTTCTTTGTAACAGTATTATACTAATAACTCGTATTCAGCTCAGTTTGCAGTCCATTATAACCTCCCACATTATTTCCTGCAGTACTTCACCCTAGCCAATTGTTCCCCATGTTGTCTATTTGATTATTGCTTCCTAAGTGTAGGCATGATAGTGCATAAAACCCCCAGGCCCACACATGAAGCTGGGACTGAGAGCTCCATCAGGTGCAGGACTAAATAGGCTTTAAAGTGTTTTGCGACTACATGGTACATTACAATCAGAAGCTCTTGAGAGATCTGTGCTGTTCCTCTAAAGTTCCAAATGCAGAAGTGGGAGTGAAAACTTTCTAATCAGAAAGAAGTGTCATTTCAGCATTTGCTCCAGGTGTGCCTTCTTTGTACAGAATTTTGCATCTTCATATGGTCACAAACTTAGTATAGGAAATAACTTGGAGTGTGGAGAGGAGCTTGAAGTTAGAAACTGCAAATCTTTTTGTCACAACCCAAGGGTGTGATTTTTGTTTTGTGAGTGCTTCAGCACTGCTAAATTGTTCCCGCTAAATTGCAGCTTCTTGGCACGGTGGAGTTTTCTGCTGCAGAGGAGAACCCCGGTGCAAAAGAATTCCCACCACCAGTAGCTTTCTTTGCAGGGTGCATTTCTTTGTTGCAGCACAGAAATGCATGTTGCAAGGAGTTCCCGCCATTCGTATTCAAATTTGTGCCCCACCATTGGCTAGTTCTAAATTATTCCTACGTGGCGGCTAGTGATTGGCTTGCTAGCCGTATAAAAAGCTTGAGTGGTTTCCGCCCAAGTTGGAGGACTCCACGAACACCAGGAGGAGGAGACTTCACACTGTGTGAAGATCTCTAAGTGCTGCGGAGCCTATTGGACCCAGCGCATTTAAAGCAGGCAACAGGGGTCTGATCAGCCTCTAGCCTCTCCCCGTCACCGAGTGCAATCCTCGACGTATCCCTCTTCCCTGTGCACAAAAAGATCCACGGAGCCTAGCAAACTTCGTGTGAGTCTATTCAGAGCTCTTTGGTTCGAGTACTTTTTTCGGTTGGCGCAACGGGCTCGCGGTTTAGAGCCTCCAACCGGACAGGCTAGAAGAGTGTTCACGGGAAGGAACTCTAGTCCACCTCTCATCTTTTCTATCTGTAACCACAACTCAAGCAAGTTTTGGTGCCTGCACCGTTACCATCTTCGGTGTAAGTAAAATAATCTTAAATCAACCATTACGTGTCCTTGACTAATTCTAGCGTGCCGCCTGTTTTCTCCGACCCAGCGTGCCCGGGCTGCTGGCCACAGCCCGCACAGAGCACAAAAAGGGCCCGGATCACTCCCGGCCC